CGGGGGGCGGGGGGGGGCCAAGAGACAGCTGCCTTTGCCTGTCGCTGATTTACCCAAACCTTCCTCCTCTTGCTGGGAACCCGGGAGTTCTCTAAGTCAGGCTGTTGGGGGTAGAAGTTATTTGCAGATAGAGAGTGTTTATGAGTCAAATGTTAGACAGCTGGGGATGATGTTTTCCCCTCTGTTGTACAGAGGGAGTTGGGGATGGGTAATGAATGACACAAATTATTCAAGTTAGGAAGATTCAGTTGGGAAACTCAGTTTGGGTTTCTCGCCAGAAAGCTGCAGAGGCCCCGGGGCCTTGGTGGCTGTTTGAAGGAGTCTCTTGGTGTTTCTGTGTTCTGAGCACTCTGTCGACCGCCGCATGTGTCTAACCCTTATGAGATACTGCTGCTTTTCAGATCAATGGTTTGTAAAATATAAATTAACTTAATTGCACTCTGGAATCTAGAGTTGCTTTTGTTCATTATGTGTTGTTGAACTATGATTTTCAAAACCACCAAGTTGCGACTCAGGTACATATAAACTGAACACATATCAGCTTTTCTCTGACTCATTCATTCATGAGGGAAGCAGTTAGATGTTATTACTGATTCAGAAGCATCTGAAAAGCTAAGGTATTTAAAGATAATTTGATTGCTGAGTTAGATATAAAATCAGTGTCTACCAGGACCATAAATCCTTGAGATTATATGTTCCACTGGACAGAAATGTTTTTGTTTCTTTACCAGACAGAAGTCTACAAGTTAAGTAACTTCATTAATTCTGGGACCTTTAATCAGTAGTAAGCAGTGAGATGAGCTCAGTTCTTTTCCCCGGACGAGGGCTAGCAAACCTTTCCCTTTTCTTTACCAGATAGTAACGAAGTAGTTTTAGGCTGTGTGAGCCATTCACATGCCGTCTCGAATTTTTGTTCCCCTCCTTCCCTTTCTCCTTGGCAGTACAAAAATAGGCTGTGGGCGGGATTTGGCCTGTGGCCATCGTGGTATGCTGGTCCCTACCCTAGACATCCCTGGGGAGGCCATGCCTCCATATGACACCAGAGGGCATGCTGTCTGCTCTTCTACTTGCCAAGTTTCATGTCTGTATTCTCTGACAGTGCTTTCTCAAGGGATAAACTCAGAGTACAGTAGCTCTGGGTAGGGGTGGGGATAATACAGTTTTGACATTAAAAAAATTCTTCATATGACAAAGGTTGGGAACATTTTCTTAAGTTCAAAAGAGAACAAGTTTTGTTGGGAGAGGTAAGTGGGGAGGAAGGATGCTAGTTTCAGACACTTTAATTCTGGCTGTTTAGGGGGATGTTGGACACAGTGCTGTAGACAGCTTTTTTCACCACTCCCAGTACTTTGAAAGTTTCTCTGCTGAAAGTCAACATTTTTAAAACGATGTACCTTGCTTTACACGACCTTTTCCATCTACCTGAAATGGGGTGTGTATATTTTGGGGGGAGTGCGTGTCATAATGCTGTTATTTAGAAGGGGTTCTCTGGGAACTTGAAAAGAATCAGCAGGAGCTTTCCCCTCTGGTTTATTCACTTTCACTTTCTCTTTAGGAACAAAGATTAATTGAGATTTTATTTCACCTGTTGAGTTTTTGCAAATGTGTTGAGAGTGATTCTGTCTTTTGCTGGTGTTTTTTTCCCCTAGCAGAAGGTCTTGAATAATGCACGGGGTGGGTCCTTAAATTGATGAACATGGTTAATTTTAATGGTAGGACTAAGATTTATGCTAATTTTTTCCTTTAATTTATTTTTATGATTCTGAGTAAACGTGAATTGTTTCTAACCCAAGAGGGGAAATATTCCTTTGGGGACTTAATGACATGTTGAGTGTATTGGGTGTATGGGTTTATTCTTTTCTCTGTGTCTGTTTTGTCGGCCCATTGTCTGTGTTGATGCCTCAGCAATGTTTCACTGATGCCACCCTGGCTTATGGTGGGAAGTGCCCATTTCAATATGCTGATCAATTATTGAAGTCACTGTTTTGGAGGACAGGGATTACTAGTGGAGGTGGTAAGAAGTGGTTGGATTCTGGATATATCTTGAAGGAAATGTTGACAGAATTTGCTGATGGATTGGGGGTGTGTAAAGTGAGAGAGAGAAGTCAAGATTTTGTCCTTAGGCCTGGCTGGGCGTGGCTCAGCGGTTGAGCATCAGCCTAGGATCCAGGCGATCGGGGTTCGATTCCTGGTCAGGGCACATGCCCGGGTTGCGGGTTTGATCCCCAGTGGGGGGCGTGCAGGAGGCAGCCGATCAATGACTGTCTCATCATTGATGTTTCTATCTCTCTCTCTCCCTCTTCCTTCCTCTCTCTGAAATCAATAAAGATATATTTAAAAAAAAGAAAAAGGTTTTGTCCTCAGGCATTGGAAGAGTGGAATCACCATTGACGGAGACAGATAAGGCTGAGGAGAGAGTATTCAACAAATAGGAATGAAAGGGAACTTCCTCAGCTGGGTAAAAAGCGTCTACAGGTCACACCCTACCTAATGTGGGGACTCTGCTTTTCTCCTAAGATGAGGGACAAGGCAGGGATGTACACTCTCGCCACTTCCATTTAGCATTTACCAGCAGGCTCTAGCCAAGGCAGTGAGGCCAGAGAAAGAAATGCAAAACATCCAGATTAACAAGGAGGAAGTAAAACTATCTCTATTTGCAGATAACATAATTTTGTATGTAGAAAATCCTAAGGAACCTTGCTAAAAAACTATTAGAACAAATAAATGGGTTCAGCAAGTTTGTAGGAACAAGATCAATATACAGAATTCAATTGTATTGCTATACATTAGCAATGAATATTCCGGAAATTAAGAAAATAATTCCATTTAATGCCATGAGACTGGATGAGATCAGTCAGGATGGTGAAAAGAAAGGTCTGATGTCCGAGCCCCAAGCCATCAATGTTGCAAGGTCAGGGAGATGAGGAGCCAGTGAGGCAGCTGGATAACCGAGACAGGGTTGTATCCTGGGGGCAAATACTTGAGGAAGAAGGAGGTGATCAGCTGTGTGTGATGAATAAGATGAGTGGGGATGCCAGGCTTAGTAAGGGAGGGGCATGGGTGAGCAGCAAGAGAGGGAGAGGGGGAGAAGGAGGGAGAGAGAGAGGGAGGGAGGGAGGGAAGGAAGGAATGGGGG